TGATGAGGATATCGGACGACGTTTACTTATTTTATTTAAGTTTTATTTATTTTCTTGGACTATTATTTAAATTTGGACTTGTATGGGCTTGGGTCCAAGTTCGTTAGGGTTGCTTTACTATTTAAACCTATTTTGCTTTGTAATTTTCAGTTGATGATGAATAAATAATTATTTTGGTGGCTTATGGCGCATCCTTCTCTTTCTCCTATTGAATTCTTCTTCTTTCCCCTCCCTTAATTCCCCATTCTTTCTGAATTTTTCTTCTGTTTCTATTAATCATCTTATTGGTGCTGCATCAAATTTGGTATCAGAGCCTAAACTTGGGTAATCTCTCATCTCCAATCTAAAAATCTCTTTCTATTTCTTTCCCAAATACTTGTGGAACAGCACAAACAAATAAACTTTTAGCATGAGCGGTCAAGTTATTATTTTTCTAGCTTCTTTATAGTTGTTCCCCCAAAAAAATATATATATACTATTCACGGGTACTGTTCACATCCTAAAAAAATAAAAAAAAATCTCGTCTTTTCTTTTCCCTGCCGCTGCTGCAGCTCATAAATAAAAAAATTGTGGTGTTGTTCCACAAATCCCAAACCCTAGCATTCAAGCCCATTTAGCCCAACTAACCCAGCCTACTCTCTACGACCTAGGCCCATTCCCCAAACACTAACCCTAGCTGGCCCATCTCTATAACAGGATCCAAACCCCTTCCCATCGGTGGCCCAATCCCAAATATCCAACCAAGCCCGATTATAACCAATCCATTAACATCAAATACCCCACAGTTTCACCCGATTCCTTTCTCACAGCCACTCTCTTGCTATTGCCGCCTCTAATCACCATAACGCCACCACTTCATTATCTATTGTACCCAGACATCCAGAGCACTACCGCTTCATTGCCATAGGCCACCACCAACCCAAGAACATACACTTCCACCACAATTACCACACTCATATATTTCCTCGTCCATCTCAACAATCTAAAAGCTACAGTCACCACACACAATTTTACGTCCACACCAGAACCAGCATAAGTTACAGTCAACAGGGGCTAAAACCATTGGACACGAAGGGAAGAACAGAAACACAGTTGGGGCTCATAAGTCGGCAATTCAGATCAATCGGTATACAAATAATCAAAACTAAACAACAGGGAGTCCTTGATCTCTATTTAGTATTGGTTTATACTACTGCTTCATTTTTAAAATTGCATCAATTAAAATCTTGTGCTGCTGTTATCGTGATAATTTTAGCCTTAAACCCCACTTGATCGAAACCATTAATCGAATTGACACCAGTGACCGAATTGACTTCCATTGTTCCCCACTTAAATTGATTGGAGAATTTGACTAGTGTGTTGACCCTTGCTTTGCCATTTTACATGTACCAGCAGTGTTAGCTTGTTTTGGATTTAATTAATCCCAATGTTTAAAATTAAATTAAAAAAAAATTTGGTACAAGTTATTTTCCATTGCTTGCATGTATTGTTCACTGATCTCATCATAGCACATCATTTAGCTGGTATTTCATTTCATGTAGTTGCGTAGTGGTCGTCTTGTCGTCTTTATTTTCAATGCATTGACCATGGATCCATCCCAATTTGACGCATTCACTAGACAATTAGCGCAACTTGCCACTAGCCTATCGACTGTCCAATCAGATATAATTGCTACTCGTGAGGAGAGAAAGACCTTAGCTGCTAAGTTGAGCAATTTTAAGCGAACCCGTCGTTTAACTGACACTAATTCTGAAGCGTCTCATAATAGACAATATCATCGTGGACAAAGTGATCAAGAATATTTTAGACGCGATCGTAGGAATATGGATTAGCTTTGTGAGCGAGAACAAGGCCATGGTCATCATGGTACTCATTCTCTTCCTCGTCGTAAGGAGCGTTTCTTTAGAGACATTGACTTAGATATTCCTACTTTCGATGGTTGCTTAGATCATGAAATTTTTACCCAATGGAACACCCTTACACAAGAGAATCGGCTAGTAACTGATGAAACCTCAAAAGCTTGACGAACATAACCAATGTGATCTATCTCCTGACACAAATCAACAGGAGAGACAGCAATGAAAATATATTGTTCCAGAAAAACACAATAAATTTGTTGATGTGACATTCTAATAATATGTACCATCAGAAAATTATTCTCATCTTTTTCCGGAAGAGAAGAAATGAGACAGAGAAAAACTGCCCACGTAAGGATCAGAGGGCCTGCTTCTTTGGTCTCAAAAGCACTAAAACAAGATATTATTGAATCCATTTCTTGAACATCAGTTATGGAAAAAGCAACAGAACCCTGCCTGAGTAAAAATAGCAGATATTCAGCGACCATAGAAGGGGAGGAAAATCTTCGTATCTATTCTGAATATACAAGAGTACACAAAGATCATTATGTACAGGTCGATAAGTTCAATAAACAACATTCCTAGGCATATGGGCCCACCGTCTCTAGCTGTAACAATAGCTAATTTAGCACTTAATAATTTGTGGTGCACTCAAATTGACATGATGCACCAAATAATATTAAGAATATGATAACTAATATCATTTAAACACAATTATAATATAGAATAATGAATTCAAATCAAACGTCTGCTCACACATTTCAAATCTTCTGCAACTACTGTCCCAGATGCGTGTCCAATTTTAAAAGAATTCCTTACACCAGTTCTTCTTTTCATGAGTCCATTGCATAATAGGGTCTCGAGAGAAGAACATGATGTCAAAGAGGGTAATGGAGAGACAACTAATCCCATCCCCCCCCCCCACGTCAAAAAATTCCCGATCATCCTTGACCTAGAATGGTGATCTCGAACTCCTGGTGGAACAATCTAATTTGCAGGCAAAAGATAATACATCTTTTGTATTAACTTAATTATAAAAATAGAAACATTGCGGTCATGTTATAAAATATATAGCCATTACCACACATGTAATATTTGACAGAACTAGTTCCCACAAGTCTCACACATAATAAGCCTTCAATACATTCATGGTCCCTCAATTGAGACCAATCACAAATTTTGTGTAGCAACAAGAGACCTACCTCAAATCAATAACTCCCTTCAGCCACCCCAGGACGTCCAATCACCACTGTTACACTTTTTGATCTCAGCCCAAGGTAGTCATGAACAATGAAGGGCAACATTGTAAGAGAAAAAGGTGTTGGTCTAAGGGATTTGTTGCTAACTTTCTTTTGCTATTTGCTCTGTTTATTTTGAAATTGTGGCTATCAACGTGCACAGAAATGGAAAACAAATGTGAGGCGACAGGATAGCATTTAACTTATATTGTGTATGTGGCTCATATAGAATGGAACACAGGTTCCCTTTACAAAGATATTTTCTTGTACGGGCCTTAAAGTCTTTTATGGGCCTAAACTAGAGTTAATATAAATAATATGTTATAACCCTATTTTTCACTACTGAATAATATTATCTCCCTTTTGCTCTCGTGGACGTAGGCACACTGCCGAACCACGCAAATTCTTGTGTTGATGTCTCTATTTCATCTCTTTATTATTGCGCACTAAATCCAACAACTTATTTTTTTCAAGACTTCAAAAATTACTACTACGTTTTTTTCCCTTATAAACATCTAGCAAATTGAATATCTTAAAAAAACTTCAATTATTATGCACTACACACTAGTGTGAGCCCCTACAACACTTAAATTCTCAAAACAAACACTCTCAAACTCTCCCATTTGTTCCCACTTTCTGTGCTTGTGCTCTTAGTATGTAACTTGCATGATCTAGACACTCAAGTTATGGCGCATAGAGAAACTTTGAATTCTCTATCATTGACGAACAACCAATATATCAACAATGCACGAATATAACAGCTTCATCTATCTGTTTCTGCACATGCTTTCCCTCATTACATGTTTTTACAAATGGTTTTTTGGTTAATTCACTTTCCTAAAGGTTTTTAAATCTAATATCAGAATTCATTTTTTATTTTTTTTATTTTTTTTTTTAAGTCTTACTGTTAGAAAAAAATTAACTTGACATGCAATCCAAGTATAGATGACAAGAAAGGGAACTAAAAAATTGCTCAAAAGTCAAAACCTGAACGGAATTTCATCGTGGACCATTTGAAGGAGATTTTCCAGGTCCAAAGCCTCTATGAGAATAAGTAGCAGCTGCACTTTGGCATGATAGATAGAACGCACTGCTTCACTGGTTATTTTCTTGTTTATGTAATTTTTTCTTCTTACAGTTTCATGTGATCTTAGAAAAAAATTGAGTCGACTCTTGACTCTTCCCAGTTAGTTGCGTAGTTCTGTATGAAGCTTCACTTTTTTCTTCGCTATCGGTTTGTTCCATTTCTGTGCTGCTTAGGTGCACCGTTAGAAGGCCTCTTTTATGCCATTCCTGTGCAACTTAGTTGCAAGGAGAAAAAAGCATCTTTTGAGGTCAAAAGAAGCATTGGGATGTAATATGGTCTGGTCGATTTTGGGGGATACCTGAGTGTGCTGAGCCTCTTGGAGGAACTTACTGGAATTTATTCTTGCCTTTTCAAATAGTAAGGTCCTACGCTCTTGGTAGCCATCTATTCATTTTTTGCCTTGGATACATTCATTGACTTAATTCTTGCCTTTTCAAAGTCGATAAGGGATAGTTTCTCCTTTTTTCTAGTTAACCATGTGATTATCGTGGGGGAAATCTTCAAAAGAAGTGAAGAATAAAACAAAACGGGGAAGTTTCATTGATACACGACATAGGAAATGCATTAGGCCAGGAGCTCCTCGAAGATGTCGTCGTGATACTACTTCTGAAAGAATATCTCAATCAAGGGACATTCACAATCACCATCGTCACAAGTGTTGTGCTCCTTAAGTTTTGCTGCTAAACCTAGGCCAAACCACTTCCTTTTCTAGTGGGTCACCTTGCTAATCTTTATCTTGCTAATTTTTAACCAGTGCATTAATAGAATTGGAAACTGATGGAGGTTCCAATCTTCTTTGTTACCGCCCATCCCTGAACCTGCACTCGTACCAAATGGGCCACCTGTTACAGATGGTGAGGAGACCTGGCAACTGCTGCTACTCCCTGTGATGGTTCCAGTAATATGGAGGTTCATCCCACTCACATCTCCTAAGCCCTCAAGCATCTGATTATGAGATTGGGATTAAATCTGATACAGGTAGTCCTTCCAGGTGACTTGGCCTGTCACAAACAGCAATTTTTTTTTTTTTTTTTGAATATTCAACTTGAAATATTTCCTGTTTATATAAGCGGATTTATTTCCTTCCTACAATTCCTTCATGTTTATTTTTTGTTGATGTAATCTCAGAAGAAAATATGAACTGACTCTTTAACTCTTACAAGTTTAACTGATTCTGTTAAAATCATTTCCATAGTTTTGTATGAAGTTGCACTCTTTCTTGGCGATCGGTTTGTTCCATTCCTATGCAGTTTAGGTGCAAGGAGAAGGCCTCTTTTGTGCCATTCCTGTGCAGCTTAGGTGCAAGGAGAAGAAGGCCTCTTTTGAGGTCAAAAGAACACTTGCATGCACCATAGGGATAATATTATACCTTCATGTCCCTGCAACACCTGGTTTGGAACTAGATTTTCTCGTTTCTATATTTTTCTTATTCAAGTTTTTTGTAATCTCAAAAGAAATATGAACCAATTTGTCTCTTATTTCAATAGCTGTTGTTAGTTGCATGGTGTTATATGAAGCTGCACTCTCGGTCTGGGATAGGTTTGTGCCATTCTTGTGCAGCTTAGGAGCAAGGGAAAAAAGACCTCCTTTGTGCCATTCCTGTGCAGCTTAGATGCAAGGTGAAGAAGGCCTCATTTGAGGTTAATGGAACTTTTGCACGCATGTGCATAGGGATGTCATATGGCCGATCTATCTTTGGGGAGACATTGCCCACGTACCTTAAATTTTAGAATGTTTAAGCAATAAGTTTTTCCTTTTATATTTAACCATGTGGTTGAGGTGGGGGAAGTCTTCGAACGTAGTGAAGAACAAAGCAAAATAGGAAGTTTCATCACTACACTACAATGATCAAGTCAATTGACGATGATGAAATATATTGTATGGGACGTTAAGCAATGTCAACCATCGGGAAATGGAATGTGAAAATGAGAGAGGAGGGGCAATGTATATGGTTAAGTGTCTATATCAGCATTACCTTTAAAATGACAATGAGGAAGACTATTATACATATTGTGATAATGCTCCATTCACTTTACTAACACATACAACATAGTGATACAGCGCTATGGTTTTGAATTAAACTCTCTCACATGTTTGCATGTGAATTTGGACTATTTATTGTGTTAAATAAATTTTTGGGCTAGGCATGTCTTGAGACTATGAACGATTGCATTTTATTTTTTATTTTGAAAGTAGAAAGGAACATTTGGGGAGAATTGGTCTTTGCAGCATTTTTGAATTGAACTTTTTTAGGTCATTATTCAAATGAAATAGAGTCCCCTTTATGAGTCTGCAACTCCTGATGATTGCATCTGTTTACTTCAGCAACAAAATGGATTGACAGATTATTAGGAAACAAAATGTAGGCGGAAATATTTACTTGGATGATCAAATCAAAATGTTCATTATCCCATATATTGAATAGCACCACTTGCTCAATTAATAACTACATAATCCCTTTTTGTATATGCTGGCTTGGTGTGATTCATTTTTCATTAATGTTGCTGATCACTGTTTTTATGTGCTTTGCATTTATTTTTTATAGTTCACATATGATAATAGTACACCGCAAAGTGCTTCTCTACCAAAGAATCGTTCTAAATGAAGAACAGATATAGCATGGGCCGTTGTACAGAGATGTTAGAAACTGGTTCTATTGAAAAAAAAATAAAAAAATAACCAACAACAACAACAAACTTGTTTGCTTGTATTGTGGAAAGGCTTTAGCAAGAGGTGGTATCAATATGGTCAAACAATATTTAGTGGGATTATAAGGTGACGAGATTCGTGTCATAGGGTACCTTCTGATGTTAGATTCAAGATGAAGGAAAACTTGGAAATCTTTGCTGCAAAGAAGCAGATAACTAAAGAAGTTCTTGATGAGTATAACCCACGTAGTTCTTATTATCGAGAACGTGAAGAGAAAGTGTATAGAGATTTGGGCGAAGATGATGTTCAAGAAATCATCCCTCCCAATTCTAAAGGAAAGGGTGTTGTTATTGGAAAAAATGAAAGAAAATGAATGAGAACTACAGATTTAAAAGAATAGAAAGGAATTGGTTCTTACTTCATGCCAAGAACAAAACTTAGTGATCAATTTACAATCAAAAGTGTTCTTCAGAGTAAAGAAGTTATAGAGAAATGTGATCTCACTATATCGAAATGGATGATTGATTTGTGTATTCCTTTCAACGTCGTAAATTCTGTGAACTATCAACAAAGTATAGATGTCAGCATGGGTCCTAGCTATAAAGGCCCGAACTTTCACAGTTTTCGTGGTTATTTGTTGGTTAAAAATGTTGAGGAGGTACAGAGTTATGTTGAAAGTTATCATTTAACATGGAAGACAATTGGTTGTACAATTATACCAGATGGTTGGACAGATCAATGTAAAAGAATTCTTATTAATTTTTATTTTATTGTCTGAAAGGAACACTACTCTTAAAATCCGTAGATGCTTCAGATGAATCAAAAAGTGCTGACATGTTATACAAGTTATTTCTAAATGTTGTATTATTTGTAAGTTCAGAATATGTAGTCCATATGGTGACGGATAATGCTGCAAATTATGTTGCTACTGGTAGGTTATTGGGTCAAGAGTTTCAAACATTATTTTGGTCTCCATGTGCAGCCCATTGCACTAATCTAATGTTTTATAATATTGGTAAGCTTGATGAAGTTAGTATTGTCATATCTCAAGCGTAAAAATCACGAAATACATATACAACCATTGCTACCCATTACATTTGATGAGGAAGTTTACCGGAAGAAAGGAAATATTTCGACTTGCTACTACTCGTTTTGCCACTAACTTTATTGCTCTACAAAGCATATTGGCACAAAAGGATCCATTAAGAGCAATGGTATTGTCTAGAGAATGGACTTTATCAGCATATGCAAAGGAAAGTAAAAGAAAAAGATTTGTTGATGACATACTTGATTTTGTGTTTTGGAAAGAGTGTATTACTATTGTGCAACTTACTGAGCCCCTCGTTCGTGTTCTACGGATCGTTGATAGTGATGAAAAGCCTTCGATGGGCTACTTGTATGAAGCTATTCTTGTGGTAAAAAGTGAGATGGAGAATAGATTTCAAAAATGGAAGAGTAGAGTGACTCCTTATTTGCAAATTATTCAAAATTGACGGAATAGTCAATTGCGTAAGAATCTTCATGTCGTTGGGTATTGGTTAAACCCTTCTTTCCAATACAATAATCCTGATATGGAAAATCATAAACATACTATTTCAGGACTTTTAGATGTAATTGAGAGAGATGTTTATGATCAACCTGATGTAATAATCAAATTAACTAGTGAAATGAGACTATTTAGGCAAGCACATGGTGACTTTGGACGTTAATCTACTGTAGCTGATCGTCATAGAATGGCACTTGGTAAATTGTTATTCTTATGTTATGTACTTTGTTATGTTATATAATTTAGATTTTAGTTTATTTAACATATGCCTATTTTACTTTCTCTTTGTTTTGGTACAGATGAATGGTGAATGTGTTATGGTAGTAGTGCACCAAATCTACAAAAACTTGCAATTCGAGTATTAAGTCAAACATGTAGTTCTTTAGGTTGCGATAGAAATTGGAGCATGTTTGTACATATTCATTCTAAAAAGAGAAATAGACTTGAGCACCAAATGTTTAATGATCTTGTTTATGTTCACTATAATTTACGATTGCAACAATGGTAATGTTAGTTAAATAAATCTTTTCATCCTTTTGTGATTTTTTTTATTTTATTTTAAGATTTTGCTTTCTTTTACTAAAATTATATTTTGATTAATTATAAATTGAATATTGAACTTTGTTTAGGAATCATTTCAAAAATCGAAATTATGATCCTATTGACTTTGAAAAGTTTGGCATATATGGCAATTGAGTATTAAGAGGAGGATCCACCAAATATGGTAGATGATGAGTTGGAGATATTTCGTCGTGATTTGGGGGCATGCTCTATACAAAATGATAAAAATGATAGTAATTATTTGACTGATGTTATTGCTTCTCTTTTATTAAAGTATATATGATGTAACGTTAAAATTTAAAACTGTTTTTAGATGAATTACATTTTGATGATCTTGATCTTGATTGTGATGGAAATGATAATAGAAGTGAAACAAATAATGAAAACGAGGATTTTAGTATGACTGAGACTCCATCATTGATGTAAGGGAAGAAATTGAAGAATTTATGTTCAAGACTCCATCATGGATGCACTCTTAACTCTTCTTAATTGAGAAAATATTGACTTATTTTAAATAATTTACTTTATTAACATGTTCTTTACCTACGTTTAACTTTTATTTGATGGTTTTACTTTTGAAAGAATATTCTTATAGTATATGAAGCTATCTTGTTGAGCTTTGCCATTTGAAGTAGGTGGTATTTTTTTATTTTTTTTTTCTCCAATCATTTATTGTTTCAAATCCATATTTCACTACATATGAATTTGTAATAGAAACTGATACTTAGTTGACAAAATAATATGAGGTTAATTAGTTATTAGTAGAAAATGAAAAAAAAAAAATTATTATTCCATAAAAATAGATAATAATATTTTTTTTTTATAGGAATTGACCTGCTAGTTGAACCACCAAATCGCTGATTAAACCATTGATCCGTCGACCCACTGTATTGTCCGGATCGACATCCGGGTCAGATTTGACAACTATGGTATTTTGAATGTCTTTTACGACTTGTGGATCTTTCTCATTTTGAAAAGGTTACTGAGAATTTAGAATATATACGTATTGGCCTTTCCTTAACAAATGCAGTCGATGGAATTGTTTCAGTAATTTTCATAAAATAGAAAGTTTCTTTCCGGACATAGAAAGTTGGAAGCAGAAGTTTCTATTTGTAATTTTGTTTTGTTTACCTGATGGGCATATCTAAATACGTCCTAACGAAACAAGAAAAAAGGATTCAATGCATCATTTTTTATTTTTTATTTTTTTGAATAATGCTATGTTTACATACAGATGGGGTGTTGAAAAGAAAGTGAGATTTTATTTTCATTATTTTGTTGAAGAAATTCTGATCCAATCATCTAACTATATGATTTTTCAATTTGCTATAAGAAATCTAAGACATTAAAATTGATTACAAGAATTCTCTGTTACCTACCTTACCTTACCCTGTACATGAAATTTGTTTTGTTCATGGACGTGATCAAATAATTCTAATGCGGCAAGAAGATTATGAGTTGTCAAAGATCAATCGTATGAGCAAGACAATGAAAAAATCCCAGTAAAAATAGGGACAAGATAAAATTACAAGATAAAAACAGCAATAATAAGCAAATCTTGGTCAGAATCAAAAGTTTCAGCTGTTAAACACATCGTGAACTAAAATTACCGAAGTAGGGGTGCTCAAAAAACCAGATAATTGGGGGGGGGGGGGAGGGAAAAAAAGGGGGGGGGGGGGGGGGGGGGGGGGGGTGGATATGGAAATTGTAAACCAAAATTCAGCAAATAATGTTTTCAGTGAGAAAACTGCAAAAGCCCCATCACCTCCTCATTCCCCGTCCATGACCTCGGAAAGCGGGTCCACCTCGTCCTCGGCCACCCATGGCACTTGCAGCAGCTTCTCCTTGTGCACTCTCCGACTGTATCCAAAGAAATCAAAGTGCAATAGAAATCAATACATGAGGACCACATTTCAAGTGGAAGTGGAAACTACAACATCCCGACTTTCATGGATTTAATGGACTTTTGAGTTTTAAGACATTGACAAAAAAATTTGAAATTACCTTAGGATTCTTAACGGTTTCATCAACGCTCAACACAAGGCAAGCTGCTTCAGTAGCTGCATTTATAGCATTAATCTGTAAAAAGGAAGGATTTGAAAACGTTGAAGTTGTTAGCAAGCGCATTGAAAATATCAAACAATCAACGTCCCATAATTAAGCGCAATTCAAAGATACCTTCACAACTGCTGGCTCCCACACAAAGTTAGCAAACGAGTCAGCAACTCCACCAGTGTTGATATCTACACCATAAGGTGCACCCTCTCCTGTTCAAATCTCAGAACGAGTAAAATTACCACACTTATGCCACGTTATGTAGGGAGGATTGATGTGCTAGATGTTATTAAGAAAGAAAGAAAAAAAGGAGTTAAGATCTTGTTTATTCTATGGTCCAAATCTATGCACTGCTGTGGTACCAAACATGCACGTTATGTTTGAAATAGACCCATGAAACACCAAACAACCATCTCCACACAGGCACAACAGTACGAAGGAGGATGACAATGCATTTCACCTACTTCAGCAGACCATACGGCATATATGTAGTAGTGTGTAATAATAATTATATAGTGGCTTACCAGATGGAAGAGCATGTTTTTGTCTTAGTTTGTTCAACACATCAGTTGCATCAAAACCAGCATTATCGCACAGTTGCCGCGGGATAACCTGAAACAAATTGTTAAATTTAGAAGCAGATATTGTATAGATGAACAAATGTTTATATCCATCTTGGAGGTCTAGTTTCTTGTAGTCACAGATGTAATGGGCTTTTCCCAGAAAGAACTAACAACATTACTTTTGTAGTAACTACCTCAAGAGCCTTTGCATAAGAGTTTATAAAGAGCTGAGACTTCCCAGCTATTGTACGTGCATGCTGCCTCAAGTATCGGCTTACTTCCATCTGCATGTGCAAGATATCTTTTAATGATTAAATAGACAAGATTGAAAGTCCTCAAATATACACCTCGTACAAGATGGTAAAGGATTCATACGTCAATAGCACCACCACCAGCAACTATGGTGGAGTTTTTCAGAGCCCTTCTGACAATCATAATTGCATCATGTAAACTTCTCTCAGCCTCCTCAATGAACTGAAACATCAAAGACAAATGTTAGAGGGCCATAGTCTAAATCATGCAACAATTTGCTGAATGGTAATAGTCACAAACCTGATCTGCTCCACCACGCAGAACTATAGTGGCAGTGAGGCCAGATGGGCATCCACTAAATATATTAAATCGCTCATTCCCTACTTGATTCTCCTCGAAAAGCTCACAAAAACCGAGAACCTTATCCACAGGAAAAGAAAAAGTTGGATCAGCAGTTATTATAAACATTTATCATAAAAATGTTTAAAAATAAAAAAAATAAAACTGTAACATCCTCAAGAGGAGGGCATGTGCATTTGGTCAGTTTAAATCAGGTATAAAAATTATGACCAACCTCATCAATAACGTTGTTCACAGTTGTTTGCACTGTTCCACCAGTAGCAGCAGCAACCCGTTGCAGATCTTCTTCAGTAACACGTCCTGCACAAAATATATCTCGATCTGCAAAATACTGCAAACAAACAGCAATTAAGATATTTTTTTCTTGTAAATAAAGATTATGAACTCAAATCATTTTTCATTCTACAATAATGCCCATTTGATACATAACCTTCTGTCAAAATGATTTCCTTTTAGTTCTATAATTAATATATATATATATATATATATAGTAGGCGATGGCATTGCTTGTATTCATGGTCTTGATGAAGTAATGGCGGGTGAATTAGTAGAATTTGAAGAAGGTACAATAGACAAATGCGCTACGGAGAACAAGAAGTTCTTAAGTTTAAGGATTCATTTCTACCCATCTTTCTTTTGTCCATGCTTTCCATTTGTCAACAACCAACAAAAGTGTTCTACTTCGACTCCCCTCTTTGAATCAATAATTAATCCATTTTTCAGGAATCCTGTTTTTTGTAAATTCTTTTCTCCCCTCCACTTTCTTTATCATTATTCCACATTCTAGCCGACGAAATTAGTAATATTATCCGTAAATGTATTGAACAATATAATAGAGCGGGTAGCGGGAATCGAAGCCACATCATTAGTTTGGAAGGCTAGGGGTGATAGTCGACGTCGATTCAGCATATATATATAAATATATCATAGAGATAAAGCCAAATACGAATTTGGACATAACCCATCCGTTGCTCATGAGCACTTATGGCATGGATTATTACTGTCATTCACTACTTAAAGAAAAAGTTGGCTAGTGTAAATCATCATGCGACTTCAGTGTGAAAATTGTAAACAATGTTTTTGTCAGAAATTGGTTCAATTAAGTGTCGAAAATATGCAACAAAATTCCATCCAAGACCTGGGCTTCTTGAATAAATCAATAAATATACATGAAGTAGCTGATTCTTCGGAAAACTCAATGTGTTCAGGTAATAGCTAGGATTAAGTATTTTCCTCAACAAACTATATGAGTTAACAAGTGAAAAGAGAATACTACAGTCAGCACCTGTGTTGCCAGATCACCAATAGCAAGCCGTGACAGAACAACTTTGGCTCCACTCTTAACACATTTATCCAACTTGTCGTAGATGATATTCCATTCTGCATCAACAATTGATTGATACTGTAATGGATCTGACAACCTGTGAGGTGCAAAAAATTGTCAGCCAAAATAATTAAATAGGCATTCGCTGTACTTACCAGTGGTCCAAATGGAGGAAGTAGAATAAATGTAATGAGGTCAAAAACTCCTTACCTTATCTCGGCATTTTCTTTCTCTGATTTTAGCTCCAATTCTATGTTTAACAAAAGTATCTTGGGATTTTCAAATTTCTTTGGTTGCTGTTCAAAACCAGCATATGAGAATGTCTTTTTGAAGGCAACTCCATTCACAAGAAAAGAATCCCTCATGTTACCTCCAGGAACCTACAAAAGCAGTGAAAATGAAATTTTCTTTTTTGCCTTTTTTTTCAAAAAATATTACAAGGGTTATATATAAAATTAAAATCTGCAAAATTATTCAGAGTTTGTTTCTCAGAATTCCTTTTTCCTTTAATTGAGTTTTCTTATGAATCTTATATACTCCATTTGTCTCTTCCAACAATAGTAACATATTGTGTAATCTTGTTTATGAAAAATAAATATTTCACTGACAGGCTTTAAGACAGTGCACCCCTATAAATATAGAAAATCTAACCATTGATATGACCATATAAATCAGCCAAAAGATCAACAAAAGGCATTCTATCTGTGACTCTGTCTAAACATCAACGTCTAGAGATCCATAACAAACTTGAGATAAAAGCACAACAGTTAAGCTTAACTGTCTAGACTATAACAAGATACACAATGGACATTTTCTCCCATTCAAAGAAGTTATCACAGCAACAATGCTAAGAGCGTGATTAAACTACCCCC